AAAATTGAGCGATCAAAAGTCTTTTAACCACTTTCCCTCCAGAGGATTTACCCCCCTTCCTGACCTGGCCATTTTTTGCGATACGGCACTGTGTTATTTTAACTGACAATTGCGCGGACATGCAACACTGCACCCAAATGAAATGTATGTCCTCTTTTTCCCACAAATAGAGCTTTCTTTTGGTGGTATTTAATAGCCTGTGTGTTTTTTTAATTTTTTGCGCTATAAACAAAAAAATACGGACAGTTTTGAAAAAAAAAACAATATTTTTGACTTTTTGCTATTAAACATATCCAATAAAAAAAATGTAAAAAATCAAATTTCCTCATAAATTTAGACCAAAATGTATTCTGCGACATGTCTTTGCTAAACAAAATCCCAATATGTGTAAATTAATTGGTTTACATGAAAGTTATAGCGTCTACAAATGGCAGGATATATACTGGATTTATTTTTTTTTTTAGTGATGGCGGCAATCAGCGACTTATAGCGGAACTGTGGTGGGCATTCTGACACTGGGGGGAATTGACTAACTGCCACTGACATCCCCAGTGACACCAATAGAGTGATCAGTGCTAATAAAAAGATCAATGGCACTGGGCAGGAAGGGGTTAAGATGTGGGGCTATCAAAGGGTTAACTGTGTGCTGTGTTTGTGTCACTGTAAGCATGCTGCTATGCAGAGCCATACAAAGCAGTGTGCAGGAGCTGCCGGGAAATATCTGTATTGTTTACATACAGGTCTCTTCCCCGGAATTCCTCGGAGATTGCCGTGTGCCGGTGGGGAATCACCAGCTTTGACCCAGTGATTGACAGCCGAGGCCGCGAATGTTCCCTACCCGGAACTGCAAAATCACATATATATGTGATTTTGCGCACCCGTGCTGCCCTGTAGCAGTATTTCTGCTATAGGACGACGTGGAAGTGGTTAAACAACCATCAATGGAACCTTCTGTACTAGATGCCTGGCAGTCTGTTTATGGTACTCTCATAGTAAGCATGACAAAAAGCCGTTTCTCAGTATCAGTTAGGAGAAGGGTACAAAAGAATTTCCAAGGCATTAGAGTGGAGAAAATATGGCACAACAGTGACATTACCAATGACGTCCCTCCAAAATTGATGAAAAGACGAGACGTAAACTGGTCTGGGAAGCTGCCAAGAGGCCTACAGCAACATTAAAGGAGCTGCAGGAATATCTGGCAGGTACTGGCTGTGTGGTACATGTGACAACAATCTGCCGTGTTCTTCATATGTCTGGGCTATGGTGTAGAATGGCAATATGGAAGCCTTTTCTTACGAAGAAAAACATCCAAGCCCGGCTAAATTTCGCAAAAACACATCAGAAGTCTTCCAAAAGCATGTGGGAAAATGTGTTATGGTCTGATGAAAACCAAGGTTTGAACTTTTTGGCCATTATTCCAAAAGATATGTTTGGCACAGAAACAACACTGCACATCACCAAAAGAACACCATACCCACAGTGAAGCATGGTGGTGGCAGCATCATGCTTTTGGGCTGTTTTTCTTCAGCTGGAACTGGGGCCTTACTCAAGGTAGAGAGAATTATTCCAAATATCAGTCAATCTTGGCATAAAACCTTCAGGCTTTTGCTAGAAAGCTGAACATGAAGAGGAATTTCATCTTTCAGCATGACAATGACCCAAAGCATATATCTAAATCAAAAAAGGAATGGATTCACCAGAAGAAGATTAAAGTTTTGGAATGGCCCAGCCAGAGCCCAGACCTGAATCCAATCGAAAATCTGTGGGGTGATCTGAAGAGTGCTGTGCAGAGGAGATGTCCTCAAAATCTGACAGATTTGGAGTATTTTTGCAAGGAAGAGTGGTCAAATATTGCCAAGTCAAGATGTGCCATGCTGATAGACTCATACCTAAAAAGACTGAGTGCTGGAATAAAATCAAAAGGTGCTTCAACAAAGTATTAGTTTAAGGGTGTGCACACTTATGCAGTCATATTATTTTAGTTTTTTATTTTTACTTTCCTCCACCTAAAAGATTTCAGTTTGTTGTTCAACTGAGTTGTACAGTTTATAGGTTACATTAAAGGTGGAAAAAGTTCTGAAATGATTTATCTTTGTCTAATTTTTTTTACATCACAGAAACCTGACATTTTAACAGAGGTGTAGACTTTTTATATACACTGTAAGTAAAAAAAAAAATAGAAGAAAATGTAACATATTTTTTCATCTTCTATTCTGCATCTATGGGTATAGTATATTTCACTTAGATATACACAGCATGCAAAAGAAAAAGAAATCCTACAATCATGATCAGAGTAGTTCGCAACAGAAAGAGTAATTTTCCTAAAGAAGGAAAGCTATACAGAACTGATGAAAACTAAAGTTTTTTTTCCTACATTTTCAAAATAATAATTTGTACAAATATTGCACAACATAGTAAACAACTAAAACAGTAAAACAATGAAAATTTACATTATACAGATCACACCAAAATATATTTGGTACAACATAACCCATCACTTAAAGACCAAAACTATATATATATATATATATATACTAATATACTTAGCAAATCAATATTTACTTGTACAATCAGCAATCACCACATTTATGTCTGTTTCCATAATAATAGCTTAACAGCCAAATGAAATGCAAAACAGGCATACAAATAACAAACATAATTCACTACAGCATTATCACCCAAAACACAGGATGAATAATATATGACGTCAAAAAATATGCTCAGCAAGATAACTTGGCTTTGCTTAAGGCCCCAGGATCTAACTGGATGGTTATTGGTCTGAAGATGCAGAGGAAGGTTAACCTCCTCGGCGGTATGATTATTTCAGATTTTTGGTGCTGAAAGCGGTACATTTTTTTGCATGGAAATATGTATTTTTTTTTATTGTAGGCCTGTAATTTAGGAATAACTCACGGAAATCTGTCCGAACAAGAGTCTAGTAAACATCTCAGGTATGATAAAACTTGAAACACAAAATCATAAATTATAATTTAATAAATAATCATAAAAAATAATAATAATAAATGTAATTAAATAATATAATCAAACCAAAAACAGTGAAATTTGAAATATAGCTCCAAGTTCACACATCATAGAGCAAAGTCGCAGAATCGTTTTCAGTGTCTGATGACGAATTTCCCCCACAAATCATTATCACTCAATTCTGCAAGTGGTTCTGATTTACTATCGCTATTGCGGCTCTAGCCGGTCTAAAACCGCTTTTGAGCTAAAGGGACACTTTTTGGACACCGTGGACGTTTCTCAGTTTCCAGGCAGAAAGAACAGTAAAAATGCAGGCAGGGCGCAGGACAAAGCACTCGGGACAAAATGTATGTGAAATGGTTTGAAACAGCAATGTTTTACTATGTAGTAATCATTTAAAAAAAAAATGACATTTTAAAAAAATGACAAATTTGCCGCCGGTTCCGGCGCCCGTATGTCCCGACGTCACGGGGACCAGAACACGGAAGCCGGATGCCGGCATCGGCCGGAGGAGAGGGCCGGGGACGCTGCAGGGGATGCATCGCGGGAGCGAAGGACAAGGTAAGCGCTGCAGGGAATCCCTGAGCAACGCCGCATGGTAAGCCCGAGTGTAACTCGGGGTTACCGCTTTTGGTACTGAAACTTTACCCCGAGCTACACTCGGGAATACCGCCAGGGAGGTTACTAAATCTCTCAGATGCAGCTTTATATCTCTAAAAAGAAGAAAAAAAAAAACATTTTTAGACCTCAAATATATGCATATTTTAGTTATCTTCATATTACTGTCACTATGTTCCTCTGCGCTATCTCATCCTATTCATGATAAAGATATAAGGGAGTGAAGAAAGAGGGAAGGTAAGGAAGGAAAGAGAAGGAAGAAAATTGAAGAAGGGAAAAATAAAATGCAAGAGAAAGGAGGAATGCAGAGGAGAGGTAAGGGAAGGCGTAACAGGGTGGAAAGAGAGTTAGGGGAATATTGGGAAGAAAGGATGAAAGGGAGAAAGAAACAACAGAGAAAAAGAAGGAATAAAGGCAGAAAGAATGCAAAGAGAGGCAATTCATAGATGGAGAGAAATAAAGGAAGATAAAACCACGGAATTATGAAAGACAAGGATAGAACAGAGAAAAGTAATGAAAAATAGGAGTTGGATGGAAAGAAAGGGTTGGATGAAGGGAAGATGAAAGGAGGGATGAAACGAATAATGGAATGGAATGAGGTAAGGAAAGAAAAAAGGGAGTGGACTGGGAAAGGAGGGAAGGGAGAGAGAAAAAAAATCTTGGCCATTTTCAAAACTAATAGACAGGGTGATGAACGAGTGAAAATAACCTTCAGTACAGCATGAAGATGGGCTTCATTTTAATGTGATTTTGAGGGCAAAGTGGTGAAAACACCAATCCCTTCAATTACATGCCTTTAACCACTTGCCTACCGGGCACTTATACCCCCTTATGTACCAGGCCAATTTTCAACTTTCAGCGCTGTCGCACTTTGAATGACAATTGCGCGGTCATGCAAGATTGTACCCATATGAAATTTTTATAATTTTTTTCTCACACAAATAGAGCTTTCTTTTGGTGGTATTTAATCGCTGCTGGGCACTTTACTTTTTGTGCTATAAGCAAAAAAAGTGCAAAAAAATTTGAAAAAAAAAAAAAGTTTCTTTGTTTTCTATTATAAAATTTTTCAAACAGGTAATTTTTCTCCTTCACTGATGTGCGTTGATGAGGCAGCACTGATGGGCACTGATAGGCGGCACTGATAGGCGGCACTGATAGGCAGCACTAATGAGGTGGCACGGATAGGCTGCACTGATAGGCAGCACTAATGAGGTGTTACGGATAGGTGGCACTGATATGCGGCACTGATTGGTGGCACTGATAGGTGACACTGATAATGGGTACTGATAGACAGCACTGATAGGTGGCACTGACATCACTGCTGGGCACTGACTGGCGGCACTGACTGGCACAACCGCTGGGCACTGACTAGTGGCACTGACTGGCAGCACTGCTGGGCTGCACTGATGGGTGGCACTGGTGGGCACAGGTGGGTGGAACTGGTGGGCACAGGTGGGTGGCACTGGTGGGCACAGGTGGGTGGCACTGGTGGGCACAGGTGGGTGGGCAAGGTGGGTGGCACTACTGGGCACAGGTGGGTGGGCACAGGTGGGTGGCACTGCTGGGCACAGGTGGGTGGGCACAGGTGGGTGGCACTGCTGGGCACAGGTGGGTGCATTGCTGGGCACAGGTGAGCGCACTGCTGGGCACAGGTGGGCGGAACTTGTGTGTGGCACTGCTGGGCACCGATCATCAGGGCACTGATGATCAGTGATCTTGATGATCGGTGCCGATCCCCGCTCTGACAACTGCCGGTTTTCGGCAGCACTTTCCTCACGCTCTGACAGCGTGAGGAAAGTGCAGCCGAGAACCGGCATTTGCATTTCCCGGTGATCAGCGTGTCATTGGACACGGCTGATCACGTGGTAAAAGGCCGCTGTGATTGACCTTTTACCACGTCACGTGATCAGCTGTGTCCGTAGGACACAGCGATCACGGAGATCGCCGGGTGCGCGCCCCCGGGGCGCGCAGGAGAGAGCGCGTTTCTGGGAGGACGTCATATGACTTCCACCCAGAACTGGCTGGCCGCAGTGCAACCGTCATTCGGCTATCTGCGGTCGGCAGGTAGTTAAGCTGTACACTTACAGTACAATTTTCATACAGAGCATGGGCAACACTATATTGTAGCATAATATATTTTTAATCTGTAATTGGTTTTTAAAGTGGTTGTAAACCCTTACCTATACCCACTGAAGTGACTGGCCTCAGATGATACACAGAGTTGAAACAAATCCTCCCACATAAGTTGCACTTGTTTATCTGCAGCCATTTGTCCTGTATATCCTTGTAAAACTCAGAGCTTAAAAGGATTTTTCACAGTCTCACAGAGCAGGGGGCGGGAAGCTGCAGTTACACACTGTATAAGAGCTCTGAGAGATGATCGCAGGGAGGGCACGCACCCCCCCAGCCCTCTTCATACAGCACACAGAAACAGAGCTGAGGCTGTCAGTCACAGTCTGCTGTAGCTCCTTCCCCTGACTCCTTTTTACCTCTTGGTGTCAGGAAACGTGTCAGAAGTGACTCTGTAGATAGCAGAGGAGAATGGCAGCAGAGAGAAATAACACTTAGTGCTTTGAAGAGAGGCAACTAAACACTATAAAAATATAAAAATATGTGCTTTGTTCAGGTTTCATGTCTGAGGTTTCCAACCACTTTAATGTTTACATTATTGCTTGGCGTAAAGTGTTACTAAACTCACAACAATTAAAATCAGTCTGTATATGCAGTAAAAGCATGCTTATTATACTCACTGTGGAAAATAAGGGGTTAATCCTCTGTATTGTGTAAAAACACTGTTTGATCCTGATTTCTCTGATCCTCCCCTTCTTCCAGTGTCCCACTCTTTATCTCCTGATAAGACATATCGTGGGGAGTCACTCTGCACATGCTCAGTTTTATATGTATTGCTAGAGAGTTTTTTTTTTTTCTTAGGAGAGTGCATGTGATCAGCACAGGGCCAATCAGCAATGTCCAGACAGAGGTCAGGGGTTCTGCATCCTCCTAGATCAGAATGAAAACTCCTCCAACAAGCTTTAACCAGTGCTCAGCTGGACACTGATAGAAGTTACAATACTGCTCCAACTGCTGATGAGAAAAGGTATTTAGTAGTTTATATTTACTAAAATAATTGCATTTCCATGTTCTGTGTACCTTGGGTCCTGGGTTTAGTAACACTTTAAATACAGTAATATCATCCTCAGTCAGATTCATTACAAATGATTAGGAATATGTAGCTGTGACATCTGATTTTATTCCAGTAATAGGCCTGAATACATCAATGGAAGTGGCGGTCACAACAAATCTAAAAGCTATAGGAAAGTTTCCTGTTACTAAAAGCTAAAACTCAACTTTGTACAAATTAGCCAGTGGTAAAAATTTAATTGTATAGTTTTTTTCACGTTCATCAGAGTACCACACTGCATCACCTTAAATGTTTAAATAATCTGTCAAATCAAAGTATTTATACAAAAAACACTTCAAAGCCACAATCCCACATTTCCCATCTGCCCCATATTCCCAAGTATTCTAAAAAAAAAATTCTAAATGTAGACTTCACTTTTGTGTTTAGTAGAAATTGTATAGCATCAGTACAGTAGCCAGCAAAGTGAAAGATACAAAGCAAGTTCTATCTTCCAATAAATATTTAGAGGGTATTATGTGAGAGACAATAGCCATATATATTTTTCTGGGGCTTGGCAGTATGTAAACATCTTGGTTAGGCCATTATATAAGAGGGAGAGACAAGGTAGGTTTATCCTGAATAAAACATTTTAGTGTATTACTTCAGAAACAATAGCTACAAATATTGTACAGTAGCCGGGCAGAATGTAAGCAACTTAGTTAGGCCACAATGTAAGAGGAAAAGATGAGACAGGTTTTATTCTGAAACAAAAATGAGTGTGTATTATGTGAGACACAATAGCCACAAATCTTTTTGAGCATCAGAGCACATGAATAAGTCACAAACTTTGATTTAGACAACAAGATTTATCTTGCAGCAAACATTACAGATTTGTCCTCTGCAACCTCCCCCTGGACAAAATCACACCTTGCTGCTGTTCTGCCTCTCCCTCACTTTCCTTCTTTCCAACTGCTGGCACCCATGTATGATCTGCCAAGTTAACATGCCATGTCAACATTACTGGAGCCCATTTGGCAGTAAGCATCAGCTGCAGAAATATCACTGGCTGTTGCTGCTCCTTGCCTGATTTCCCCTTCCACTAGGTTCCCGACATTCTCTTCCTCATCCTTAACATCTGAAATTAAAAATTCTTGTGCATGACTAAGATCCCGTAGCACCTCATCATGTGATAAAATAATTGTGTGGACTCCTCTTTGCCAGTTTGCAGGGCCATGGTGGGTTTAGTAGAATTGGACGATGAGGAAGAAGTGTGCACATTAGCAGCAGTTGCAGACAACTAGCTGCTCTGCACCTGAAAGAAGAAAGAAAAAAGCTTTGTCAACCATACAACTTCTTTGTTCGTGACCTCAGAAGGAAAAGGCAGACATATCCTACTTCTAGGTGGTTTGGTCTGACTGCTGATCTGTTCTGCATAACCTGCTTGCCCCCTACAACCTCTGTGCGCAGGACCTCTGTCTGTTCAACAAAAATAACCACAACATTGAAACCATGTAAGCAGGTGCTTACAGTGTGTCTGTGTATATTGTAAGCCCTGTTTGCACTGCAGAGTTCCTGTGTTAGTGTTATTACCCACATGAAAGAAAAATATATTTTAAATATATTTTAAAAATATTCTTCCAAAATATATTGACATATATTTGAAATACTACAATATTGGTTGTTTCAATAAATAAATAAATAAATATATATACACTGTATGTTGAAATGTGTTTTTATTACAAAATATATGAAAAATATTTTTAAAAATACATTTTCATATATACTGTATGTCTTTAAAAATACATTTAATTTACATTTTTGGAATGTATTTACAAATATATGTAAAAAAATATATATTAAAAAAATCTGAAGAATATATTTAAAAAAAATATATTATGAAAAATATTTTTCAGATATTTATATAAAAACTGCATTTCAACATATGTGAATATATTTGGGTAGAATATTTTTAAAAATATATTTCAAATATATATTTCTTCCATGTGGATACTGTGATTGCACTAAGCAGTTAGGCTGTCCAGGTGGGAAGAGCTTAAGTCAGGGTCTGCATTTTCCCTGGCTTTCTTGGCTCTGCCCCTTCCCTGTGCTGCTAATAAAAAGGGGAGGGCTCTACTCAGGGGCAGAGAGCCATGGCCTGCATAGGAAGAGAGGAGAGGCATAGTAGAAAGCTGTAACCATCTGCAACATTCTGAGCACCTTTTGGGAAATTCCCCTGGAACCAGGACTCTTCCACACTATGACCCTTGCCTTGGAAGCAATGGGCAGCCTATGTTTAGTTAACTAGGGAAAGACTGTTGTTGCACTTCTGGACTCTACTGTTGAGAATGTTCAGTAAAGTTCCATTATCCAGTTCATGCCTGGTCTGAAATTACTGCAAAGAAAAGAGTCTGTTACACACACACGGGGGTGAAGAGGAGGACACGTATTTTCTAACAGCAACCAACACAAGGGAATGAAAGTCAGAAAAGCAGGAATATGGTACCGGCAAGGGTGATGGGTTCTCTGCATAGTGAGAGGAGCGGTGTGCTATTTCCCCTTCGAGCAGACGGTGCCTCAGCTAACTGGGCCCACATCTGCTTGGCAGAGACCTCAAGGACCTAGCCACAGCTACAGATGTAGTAAACCAAGTTAAGCTGCGCACGCAGAAGCTTCACACAGGTATATGGTGGAAACTGTACTCTATCACTGGAAGCAAGATGATAGAAGAGCTGAATTGGTGGACCGGGACATTGCAACCTGATGTCTCCTTCAAAATGTCACATTCCGAGCACAGGTTTATGTGACTTAGGACAGTGTGAGGTACATTGGGTGTGCCGCTCATTTCTAATTCTGGGTGAGAGTGAGTAAAAGCCCCATGTGCATGGGCGAATTGGCGGGATTAGAGGTGTTACTAAATGGACAAAAGTGGCTTTAACTCTATCAGTTATTGCGCAAAAATAATTTTATTTAAAAAATTTAGCAAGATATAACTATTCAATAACCTTTCACTTTTTACCTTTCAAGAAAATGCTTCTTCCTTTAGGCCTGCGGACAATTTGAAGGGGGTTGCCTAACTTTTATGGCACTAGGGGAAATGAAGATGGGGCACTTTGTGCACTAAAGATGTGGTGGTTTGCAGTTATGTGCTGCAAACAAAGGCAGCTTTGCCTGTAACAGGTGTACACTGTGGATCTTGAAATAAAAGAAAAAATGTGAAAAATCCAACCAAGAATAAATATATAAAATAACCAATACCTTGCCTAAACAAAATCAACCATAAACACTAAACCCCAACCTTTTTTTAACTAGGTGAAAGTAAAAAAAAATTTAAAATTACAGAAAATAATAATAAAAACCATATTTAAAGCCTAAAAATGAAGGTGTTTGTGTGAGAAGAGAAGAGAGAATAGGAGAAAAGGGAAGAGAACAGAAAAATAAATTCTAACAGAGGTGAAGGAAAGAAGGTAAGAGAGAGAAAAATCATGAATTCAAAGGAAATTTACATCCAACTGCTAGTCTCACTGTGTTTCTCAATGCTCTCCTTGCTGGAGAGAAAGCTGCAGGGCAAGCATCTCTTTGTTTCCACTTCATTCATTTTATGCTTCATGTACCTAGTTCACCAGTCATCAGGGGAGAAGCTCTGTCAAGAGAAAGCAAAGCAAAGTTCTGTGCCTCTGCCCAGATGACTACCTCCATACAAAG